ACTGAGAGTGTATCTGAACAACCTCCATTTTTTCAGTGGCATATTAATTTAGCAATAGGCTAAGGACAGTGGAGTTATATATCGTGAATTGAAGAAGGTTAGAATTCATGGGCAAGCTCACCTTGTAACCGAAGTAATTGTCGTAGATTTTGTTCACACTGGGACTATGTACACTTACTGATGAAGACTCCCAGAAGAGGACGAAATTGTTGTCCATTACGCTCTACTGGTTTCTAATAATTCCTAAACTAAAGTCATTTCATGACTAAGCTTGAGAAAAATTGGAAATAGAGATGACTACAATTAGAAACTTTTCTAAACAGCCAACTGTGCGCAATATTACAAGAATTTAAGTAGGGATAGTACACCATTCTCAAATTTGAAAACTGCGCCAGATATATTTTCAAATTTTACAGATTTAAAATAAACGGCTGTTTAGCTTAGGATGGTTAGAAGTGGATACAACGTTGTCAATACATGATAAATTGTGCATCAAAATCTTTCGTATTGTGCCTTTGATAATGAAATTTATACAACCTACGATGAAACAGCTGTCCAGTACCCCCAGCTGGTTAACCAGTGGTGCTCCAATTGATGTCACTTCATGATAAAATCCAGTAACCAGTCAATCAAATCCCTGCAAACCAACACTTAAAAATCGATGAGATGCTACTAGAAACTTGCCCTATTCAGGTAGGTAGTTACCTGGGGTTCTAGTGAGACGTCGTGACCAGTAGGGTGCAACAGGTCGGCTGTGAGGACAAATACGTACCAAAAACATTGGCTAGGGGTCGCGCTATGTCGCGAATTGGCAGAAGTTAGAATTCATGGACCAGCCATTGGATTGGTGGGTCCCATTGGCTTAATGGTCTATCAACTAGCTCTCCTTGTAATTGGAATGTTCTTGGTTCGAACCCTTTTGTTGTGGTTGAGTGCTGATGAAGACTTCCAGACGAGGATGAAACAGCTATCTAGTACTTCCAAGTGGTTTTCCAATCTTCCTCTAATCGATGTCACCATATGATGAAGTCCTGTAACCAGCCAGTCGAATCCCTGTAACCCAACATTTGAAATTTAAACACATAAAGAGTTTGTTTTATTGCTAATGTTTATCAGTGGAATGCTGGTTATTATTTTTGAATTCAGTTGGTAAATTTTACGATGAAACAATCTGTGATCACAACAGTAGTGTAGTCGGATTTATCTAAAAATTGAAAATGGGATTGATCCATTTGCTGTAATGATCCCATTAACATTAGTGCAGAAGATTTTTAGCTCAGGTGTGGATGAGTTTGATGCAGTTGTGTTATCCCTCAACTGATGGATGGTTTACTTGAGAAGCTTTCATTGCCCGTCCTACTAGGCAACATCTTCAGTGAATACTTCAACCTACTGCTGAAGTGAACTTTTACATTTCTCCACGAGTTCACTATTAGTCATCTCTCCTGGTGACCACACCTTAAACGTCGCGATTGATTGCTCTTGTTTTGTTTTCACACCCTCTAGTCTGTTGTTTCTTCTTACGGATTGGTGGGTTCCATCTCTTTGTCAATGTGCCTGTTAATTGATGATTCACTAGAATTCGAGGTTTCTGAAAATTTTCAAGTATTGGTTTTGTAGGAATCTTGTTTGATTGTATGGAGAATTTCACCATGAGCTGACATCAGTTAGAGAACCACTGGAAAACCAACTGGAAGTACTCTTCAGCTGTTTCGTCCTAGTTCGGGACTCTTCATCAGTACGCATCCACCGGGACCAACAGGGTGCAGCAGGTTGAAGATGAGGCAGTAACCCATCGAAGAAGACATTGTGAAGTGGTCGCGCTATGTCGTAAACTGGCAAGAGTTAGAATTGAAGAACCATTGGATCGGGTCCCAGTGGCTCAATGGCCTACGAGAACATTAGCCTTGTAACCAGAAGGTCCTGTGTTCAAACCCCGGTGGTTGCGTACTGATGAAGAGTCCTAAACTATGACGAAACAGCTGACCAGGCCTTCTGAAAATCTCTGGTGTTCTACCATCAAGCCAACCAACTAAATCAAACGCCACCAAGGAAAATAAAAATAAAATCATCTTACCATACATAGAGAACGTCTAAGAAATCCCTGTAAATATCTTCAAACCCCGTAGAAATTGATGTCTCACACAAACCAACAGAATCACTTCACTCAGATCTGTGTCAACCAAATGACTTGACAGAGTAGATGTTGAAGATATAATGTAGTAACAGCTCCTGTAGATAATGGATTAGTATGCTGGCATCTGAGCTGTTGCACTGGATGAAATCACACAGAAAACAAATGCCTTCTGTCATTGGAAGATAGGTGAAGACAGAGAGAAAGAAAGAAGATAAAACCAACATCATCTACAACATAAACATCTGTAAAAAATTATATTTGTAAAATCTCAGCGAGATTGAAATGAGTAATTCCAACGTTTCCCACGTTCGGCAATCTGGTCCGAACTTCTTCAGGAAAATTAATCGAAATTAACATAACAGAAGTTTATATATGTAAAAGGAACATCTTTTGTTTTTAAAGACTTTGTCCAATCATGAGTCATAAAACAAATATTAACAAGTATAATAAACAAAATTGTACGAGTTGTGATCAAAATTTCACCTCGGACTTACAAATATTGATCTAATTTGTTAAACACTTTCAACACAGTGTGTATGTGTGCGCGCGAATAAACAGTTGTAAAACAATGTCTTAACGTCTCCATGAGTAGATATAGACAGTCAGGAACTTTGATCAATTATTATTAGTTAGTGGTACATATCCATTCTTATTTATTAATCAGGATTTCCTATGCATCAGCCAACACACATCACACCTTCATGTCTGTTCAAACTGTTAGTATCTAGAATTTTATGATTAGACGTGTTTTCAAAATTATGGTGTTTAGGATTAGTTAGAGTTTAGTTGAAGCAACCTGTCAAACTTATGACTTTGTCTCACTCGGCGCCCAAATATTTTAGAACTATTCTGTCAAATCTTGACTACAGTTCATTTGATTTATTTTGTAATCGAATTAAATTAACAAAGAAACTATGTAATTGGCACAATCATCGTGTTTCCACTCTCCGGTGTCGGCAACAGAATGCGTATCCTAAATTCGTAGCTGTCCAGTCACCTGACAACTTCAGTAGGTAGAATAAAGCAGCTCAATTTTCAGAAAGAAGACAAAGTAATAAGTTTGACAGGGTGCTTCAACTGAACTCTAATCCTAAACACCATAATTTTGAAAACACGTCTAATCATAAAATTCTAGATGCTAACAGTTTGAACAGACATGAAGGTGTGATGTGTGTTGGCTGATGCATAGGAAATCCTGATTAATAAATAAGAATGGATATGTATCACTAACTAATAATAATTGATCAAAGTTCCTGACTGTCTATATCTACTCATGGAGACGTTAAGACATTGTTTTACAACTGTTTATTCGCGCACACACATACACACTGTGTTGAAAGTGTTTAACAAAATAGATCAATATTTGTAAGTCCGAGGTGAAATTTTGATCACAACACGTACAATTTTGTTTATTATATTTGTTAATATTTGTTTTATGACTCATGATTGGACAAAGTCTTTAAAAACAAAAGATGTTCCTTTTACATATATAAACTTCTGTTATGTTAATTTCGATTAATTTCCCTGAAGAAGTTCGGACCAGATTGCCGAACGCGGGAAACATTGGAATTACTCATTTCAATCTCGCTGAGATATTACAGATATAATATTTTTACAAATGTCTACTTCTCACTCGGCGCCCAAATGTTATAGAACTATTCTGTCAAATCTTGACTACAGTTCATTTGATCTACAAAATAAATTGCAACAATCGTGAAAAACACTGCATTTGTCAAAGTGGACGCCATCTTCATCTCTGCATCCATGATCAAAAACTAGCCGTCAAAAGACATGACATCCACTCCCTCATATCATTCACTGCGCACAGGCAACCAAGGACACCATACATTCTGGGACAATGTTCAAATGTTAGTCAGAGGAAGCACTAAGAAGGCTAGAGTAGTTTTAGAAGGCTGCTTGGTATTCCAGTGAATCGGCAGTTAACAGGCACATCAACATACATAAAAATCTACCAATCTATATGAAGAAACTCTCGTGCATTGAGACTCAAATTTCATCTCATGGAGACAATCAATACCAACACAAATAGATTAGAGTGTGTGTGTGTGAACACATATAAAACGGCCAGTCAAGACAATCAAGGTGACTAGGAGAGATCAGGAGACGAATAAACTCGTGGAGAAATTTAAAAGCTCACTTTAACAAACTGAAATATGCTCTGAAAATGTTGCCTAGTAAAGCAGTGAGAGCTTCTCAAGTAAACCATCAACCAGTTGACGGAGAACACAAGCTACGTCAATATAACAATAGTGTGAATAAATGAAAGGTGAGTCAAGGAACCTGGAGAATTAAGCTTCCAGAATAGTCTGAATTTTCATTGATATATTGTAGTATAATTGCTATGACCGAAAAGTCCTTCCTTGATGTCGACTTTGGCTTTGAATCTGACAATGATCCAGCTATCTTCAATGACCAGAATGAATGTTTCTCAAGATCCTACGATAACAAAAACGATTCGTTTGGCTGGCTAGGGAGTTGCCAAAATGGAGTCTGACGAATGAGGAGATGACAGTAGTAAAGTGTTGCCTTCATATGACCAGAAAGCCAACTATACTACCTCACAGCTCTGAAGGAGAGAGGGTTTAAAAAGTGAGACCACAAAGCCGTACATCCCGACTTACCCTGAGGAGGTCGATAGTCAGATATAAGGTTTTCAATCAGACATAACTACAGAAGTCACTTCTAGCAGCCCTGGACTCTGTAGTTGCACAACACTAGTGGTAAATGTCTTCATTTGAGTAAAGTAATTAAAAATTACAGTTTGCCATACTTATGATCCCTGTAATTCATTGATTTATTGATTTTCCTTCATTTTTTCTTTCTCTTTCTTCTCTTTTTTTAGCTTTTATTCGAAAAATTTCATGAAGCCTTGAAAGAACAAGCCGAACCATTGAAAAAACTAATTGCTATTGCTGATCGTGATGGAATGTTTTTAAATGAACATCTTGCATCTATATTATATGATAAATTAACATTTTATCAAAGCTTATATCGATCACAAAGAGACAATTATCTTTTAACAATTTAAAACAATAAAAAACATGTGACATTGGGAGATTTCAAAAACACAAAGAATAAACAAATATCCTTTTAGGCATTGAATATTGAACATTGATAACCTTGAAAACCTTGACAACGTAAACATATGCATATGTTTAATGCGTTAAAACAAATTCCATGAATACGAATAGGATTTTAACATTTTAATATGTTGCCTTCCTTTTTTTAATTTTCAAAATAGAATTGAATTTTTGTTTATTTCGCTTTACGATTTCCCATGAGAAATTTGTAAGCGAATACGACAGTCTCTCTATTGAACTGATCACAAGCAATGCGCAGTAAAAATAGCACATTTTTAGAAGGAGAGAAGAGAAAATAACTACAGGCAGATTGCAATAGCTTTGGTGACTGGTGGCTTACATTAATTCTCATTGGTTAATTCGCATTTTCAGGTATTGATCTTTTTGTAGGGATTTTGTTTGATTGGTTGGAGGATTTCATCATGAGATGACCTCAGTTGCAGATGCATCATAAAACCAACCAGAGAGTACTGGACAGCCAGCTGTTTCGCCCTAGTCTGACACTCTTCATCAGTGCGTACACACTAGAAAAGGGTTGAATCCAGGACCTTTTAGTTACAAGGCGATCTAGCCCGTAGACCATTAAGCCACTGAAACCGATCCAGTGGCAGGCTCATGAATTCTAACTTCTGTAATTGGTGTCAGCTCGTGATGAAATCCTCCAAACAGTTATCATTTTCACACTACTACAGGCAGATGGGCTGATTAGCTAGAGACGGTGAGTACCAATACAGAATGCTTTCCCGATAAAAGAAATTGATCTGGTCAAATTAAAACTTGCAGAACGTCAGGAGAACTTAATTTCAATTGTAAATCAGGAGTACAAAAGGATGAAAGCATCAATAATAATATTATGATAATACTAAAGTTTTATTTCAGACAACAGGGATCTCTGACAGCAAACGAACCAATCCAGCAGGAACCCATTGTACAAAAAATATGCAGGAAGAAACAGAGGTGGATTATGGCCATTCTCTGCGGAAACCATCAAGTGACATCACTAGACAAGCAATCGCTTGAGTGGAACCCAACAGGAAGTGGCGAGTTGGTCGTCAGTTCGAGGGTGGGGTGAAATGCAGGAGGCGGTGATGTGAAGAGAAGATGAAAGCATGTGGAGCCAGGTGAAATCGTTGTCGGAGAACTGAACACGCAACGGAAGCATCAGGCTGAAGCCTTATGTTCCTCTAGGAACTAAAGGAGACAATAATAATAATTTTGGACAATATGTGAACAAATATTACAGAAATTTTCAGCGCATTTAGTTCCAAAATGCTTTCCTCTTCATATAGAATTTACAGGTAAAGCAATAATCTGAAGTACATTATTTGTCGTAGTGTTGCTGCATATGTAGAGAGAACCGATTCTGTGCATTTTTGTTCAGCCGCTTCGGAAATTGCTTAGCGTATAATGGGAAACTCATTAAATAAGCCTTCACGATTTCATGTATTGATCATTCGATATGACTGGACGATTACAACAACAATAAGAAGTTCAGAAAAGATTTTAAACAGCATTATGATACATGGAAATTCTGATAACCCAATGATTTAAGCAGGCCGCCGGATACAGTCAATGCAACAACACACTAAGGACTTTGAACCTGATAACGCTACCTTTCGAAATAAGACTATAGCTTATTGTTGTTTTTTGTTCCCTTGGGTTCCTAGTGGAACACAGGACTTCGACTGCACGTCTCCACTTGCCAATTCTGTATTCTGCTGTACTTTTAACCTGCATCCATGTTAGTCAGTCCATTCTGTTTCAACTCCTCCTCACAACATCTCCATGTCACCCTTGCACTGACGTCCCACACGCCGCTTCCCTTTCGGCCTGGTTCCACTCGAGCGATGGCCTTACGCGTGATGTCACCCAGCGGTCTCCTCAGCCGCGAGTGTCCGACCCATCTCCATTTTCTTCTGCATATTTGTTGGTTGGCGATTGGTTCTTGCTTTGTTTGTTCCCATAGTTTCCAATAGTTGGTGATTCTTTCCGGCCCGGCCATCTGATCTTCAGTATAAATCCGCCAATTTTCTCATCCATATAGAAGAACTGACTGACTTCACGTTTGTATTGAAAATCTGACCGGATTTTGTTGTTGATGCTGGCTGAGTGACGAAGATTTCCAGATTGGTTGTTTCATGTTGATGAATGTGTTCCTCGCTCACCTTCCCGATTCTCGCTGGATTTGACATCCTCGTCCGTTCCGACTGCCTGTAGTTGAGACAATGCTCCCTAAATCAGTGAGTAAAAGAAGTAACCTCTTTCAAATCCCTCCCATTGATTGTGATTGGCGCTGGATGTTGCTGTTGTTGGTTGGTTATTTTCATAACCTCTGTCTTGTCTATGTTCACTTAGAGAAGACGGAGCTTATACTTAGCTAGTTTTCTATTGGTTAATTAGAATGTTCTATGACCAACTGCATGAATTCATTGATTTATTTGTATTACGTTGCATTTATTCGCGCAATACATTTCGAACTCAGTCTGATAAAAACATTCACTTGTCAAATCACAATTTATATGAAAAATGAGAAGCCATTTAGAATAAAAACAAAGATATGAGAGATTGAATAATTTATGGTGCCTGAGGGACTGGTTGATTGAATTGAGAAGCTTTCGCTGTCTCTGCCACCTCTTCTAGACAACATCTTCAGTTCAACTTTCAGTATGGAATGGAGTCATTTGAATTCTCCATGAATAATGAGATAATTGTATCCCATGGCAACTACTGTCATGTCTGGTTGTTAATTTACGTCTCTAGTCTTCATTTTCTATTAACTTGCAGTTCGAACTTTTTTGTCACATGTGATTTAATTTTCATTAGCTGGTAAATTTGGACATTAATAATGTGTGTTTGTGAAATGCTTATTCATTAGAGTACCAGGATTCGAGGAATTCCCTGGCATTACTTTCGGTGTTTCCTCTGTCTAAAATAGGTCAGAGACTTGGCGCGTCATAAAGAGCATCTCAAACAAACTACAGACCTTCATTAACAGTTGTCTTCGCTCAATGCTCAAGATCAGATGGCCGGCCAGAAAATGTCAGCAACAGAGGTTGCTGGGAGCGAACGAACCAGGAACCGATTGTAAAACAAATAGGCAGGAAGAAATGCCGGTGGATTGGATTGGCCATACTCTGAGGAAACCATCAAGTGACATCACTAGACAAGCCATCGCTCGAGTGGAACCCGAAAGGGAAGCGGGGAGTTGGTCGTCAGTGTGAAGGTGACTTGGAGGAGGTCATGTGAAGATAAGATGAAAGTATGTAGGCAGACTTGGAGCTGGTGAAAGCGTTGGCAGAAATCCAAACGCGATGGAGACATTTGGCTGAAGCCCTATGTTCCTCAAGGAATTAAAGGAAATAATAATAATAGTAATAAAATATCTACGTTAACCCAATTATGCCAAGTAATCCACAATGGGAAACTCATGAAAACCTTCGAATTGAAGACGAGAGTAGGACAAGGCTGGCTCGCTGCCTACTATCTCCACTGATTTTTCTGATTCCGGTGGACTCGATAATGCGGCAGGCAGCGACCTTGGCAACGAGGAGAAAGGCATAAAATGGAACAACACAAAAAAACTTGGACGATCTGCATTTGCCGATGATATATGTCTGATTTCCACTAACTGGAAAATATGCAAGTGAAAAGCAACAAGTTGGCAGAAGAAGCATCCAGAGAAGAAAAGACTTCAAGTGAACATAGAGAAAACAGATGTGGCGATGAAGATTCCTGGACAACAGCAACAGAGACAAATACAACAACAACAGACAACAATCAGCATGAATAACAGAGATGTGAAGGAAGCAACCGCATTCACCTACCCACCTATCTGGGAAGCATCATTCAACTACAGGCGGACGAAACTGATGGGGATAGCAAAGCGCGGATCGAGAAAGCAAGGCAAAGCAAGTCTTCACTACTCTCAAGTCTGTGTGGAGATTAACAGCATTCAGCATAAAAATGAAAATAAGGACTGGTTTTTCAACTATACAGATCAGAGACTTGGCGCCGCGTCACGAAAGGCACTTCGAACAAACGACACACCTTCATTAACAGCTTTATTCAATACGTATCTGATTTGCATATGGTTATCATAACCCATTGGCTAATAAGCGCCAGACTACTAGTATACTGGTGGCCATTGATTTAAATAATGTCACCAGCCAGCTCAAGATTATTTCAGGAAGTTTCAACGTCAGTAAAAGTTAAAATTCATGAGTCATCGAATCAGGTCCCAGTAGCTGAATGATATACGAGCTCGCCTTGTAACCGGAAGGTCCTGGGTTCGAATCCCAGTGGATGCGTACTGCCGATGATCCCAAACTAGGATGAAACAGCAGCTGTCCAGTACTCCCTGGTTTTCAATGGTTCTCTAACTGATATCAATCTGTGATCAACTCGTAAAAACAAAACTAACCCTTACAAACCAAACTATATAAAATATTTCTACATATTTAATCCCCGATTGCATAAACGATTATTCATCATATTAGTGATCATCCCACTAGATTTTTAAACTTAACATCCTGTCTATTTTTGTTATTTCTACATTTCTAACCCCCAATTGCTCAATATGTGAACCTTCTCAGTAATTTTGATGCTACTTGGTTTGAGTTTTATCCGTTCCCCTGTTTAATATGGCATTTCTAATTCCTAGTGTAGGAAGTCTAGGCCACGCCTAACTATCCATCCATCTTTTTTTCCGGACTTGGGACAGACTGAAAAACTAGCTAGTAAGCTAGTAACCAACTAGACGAGGATGACATATAAACAATAACCCTAATTAATTTTTATTTCTGTCTGAAATAGTCTGAAAAATGTACACACGCTCACACACACACATACAAAGTAATTGCATATAATTGCGCTTGTACAGTTAAGAGTACGACTTATTCTAATAATAATAATAATAACAATAAGCTTTATCCCAAAACAGTACTTGTAA